AGCATTGCAAAAGATCAAGCAACTTTCAATCAGAGCGCTTTTGCAGGTTGACGAAAACCTTTGTGTATTCGCGGGATTTCCTATTGATCTTATGGGATTTGGACCACAATGGATTCTCGGCTACCCCTTCATTCGTCAGTACTGCAATATCCACGACATGGAGAAAGAGAGAATAGGATTTGCAAGGTCCATTATTAAGTAAGTGGGAATGCCATGGACGAATACAAATCAAACATGTTTTTATACTTTCAATAAATGGCTTTGATTAAAAATATCTACAGTGAGGTTGTTTACAATAAACTAGCTTGCATACCCGATTACGATGGCGATTTGAGTTTTTCTTGTGCTTCCTATACATACATGAATCGTTTTGAGCTCAGTGAGACAAACATACGGTTTTTATTCATTCTTAAACTATAGATTAGATTTGTTCTCCTTTGAGAGCAATACTCAAATACTATTTTAAGCTGCTTTGCAATAAACGGCTTCACAAGAGCTCTTCAACGTTCTTGCAAAACTATGTCTTAGAGGCTCTGCTCGTGCTTTATTTATCCAAATACAATATCATTCGTACTACTGGGACCAAATTATTGTTGAAATTGAGGCATTTTTCGCCACCGAGGTGAACGCACTTGGAAGTTGATATAATCCATTGTGAAAATGGTATTTGTCAAAATTTATCTCGAAATATCCAAACTTCTCAGTGCCGCCCACACTGAGCTAACATTTCAAAAAACTTCTGCTGTCAATGCAATGTGGTGTTGTCACTTGTTCGATTTATTTCACAAAAATCTAGGCTTTGTCACGATTTTTTAAAACTACACCTAATCTTACATAAGTATTCTATACGTATATAATTGATTTTTCTGTTTGACTGACTTGCTACTAGTTTTGATATTGCCAGTACTTCTTGCACTTCACGCGGTGTTCTTAGTCAAGGGCCTGCCTTATCGATATAATCAGATCTATCCCAATTTGTGCAGCTGTGTAGTTAAAAGTAATATTTCCATTGCACTTAATACATTCAATACAGTCAATATTAAGGGCTTGTTTCCATAATAGTCGAATGATTTTAACAAGGCCAATCGGTCTATTCGTACCCTGCTTGATTTGGTTAGCCAGTGGATTCTGATTGCGTTAGGGAAACGAGGAGGCATAATGGACTTGAAAAATCGAGATCCAGGGATTGGCTTTGCTGTGTTTCTGTTTGAGTGCACGCTGGGTTATCAAGCTGCCGACGCGTGTCAGTACCTTATTTCAACCTAATGTTGAACGACAACGTCCAATCGTCCCTAATCTTCGATAACGTGAAAAACCTCTTTATCTCCTTTGCTAAGTGTTAAAGCGGTATACCCAGCACCGCCTTGTCAATTCGATGACGCTAATCGCATGATATTGCTTACCGCA